GGGGGGGGGGGGGGGGGGGGGGGGCGGGCGCGCGGGGGGGGGGCCGGCGGCTGCTGCTCTGAGCCGGCTGCACGGGAGGCCAGGCTTAAACGTCGCCCACGTGCTTGCCACATGGGCGTGTGTGTGTGTGTGGTGCGAACACAGCTGACTGGGTTAACTCTGGCCTGGCTGGCAGTGAGCTGGCCTTTCGGGCTGCATGGCTGCAAAGGGGCCGCTGCAGCAGAGGAGCCCCCTTAGCCCCCTGGGAAGCAGCTCCCGCCCCCCACACCTCTGTCCCGCTTAGGGCAGGCTGGGACTGCCCTCTCCGCCTCCTGCACCCCAAGCCCCAGACTGCCCCAGGGGTCGAGGCAAGCGAGATGAGGAGGCCGTGGGTAGCCTGGCATGAAACACAGGAGGCGGCCAAGGAGGGACGTGTGCCTGAGAGAAGCTCCCCGGGCGCAGAGGAAGGCATCGGGCTGCCCTCTGCTGCTCGTCTGCCTTTGGCCAAGCGTGCCAGGGAGCTCTCTCTCTCTCTCTCGGGCTTACACGAGCCACGGACGCATGCTGGAGGCCACGAGGGCACACTTCCTCCTCCTCCGCTCGCTCTCTGCGCAGCCTCTGCTCCTTCCCCTCTCCCTGGGCTGTTGCAGCTGCTTCTGGACCACTGCCCCGTCCAGCCCAGCCTGCTTGCAGGAGCAGCAGGGCCTCGCGTGGGCACAGGCCACTGCCTGGCGGGCAGTGCTGGGTTTCCCCGTCCGGGGAGGGAAGGGCCCCCCTTCTGGGAGAGGGGCCGGTGCCAGAGGGAGAGGAGCAAGTTGAGCCCCATGGGGCAGGCTCAGCTGCAAAGTCTCTTTCCCGGACACTGTCCAGTGGGACACTAACACCTGCCTGCTCCGAAAGGGAACGGAAAGAGCCGGGGGGGGCCAAGGCGCCAGCAGCAGACCCAGCCAGTCTCCCAGTCCGAGAGGGGGCCTGGGGCCTCCCTGGCCACATCAAGACACCAGCAGGCCCTGAGTTCAGGGAGCGTCTTTATTTTTCTCTCACGCGCAGGAAAGTCCTTCGCCCGCATGCTGCTCCCCACGCCTTCGGAGCACCACCAGCACCATCGACCCAAAGGCCAACACAGCCGCCACCCCCGCCGCCAGGGAAAGGCCGTCCTCCCATCGCAGGAACCCCTCAGAGGGGAGCGCTCTGGACCCTGCGGGGGGTGGAAGAGAGGCACCGGGCAGGGGAGCTCACGTAGCACCTTCGCCTTCAGGACCTGACCTCAGCCGCCCTCCAAAAGGGGTTCCAGCCATGGGGCCTTGGAGCTGCTGCTGACACCTGCCAGCAGCCACATGGCAGGAGGACTTCCCCGGAAGACCACAGGCTCCCCGCCCGGGCTCTGTGTGGGGCATGTGCATGTCTAGGACCACCAGGCAGAAGAGTAAGAAGTCAAGCCTGTTGCGCCCCAGAGGCCGTGGGAAACAGCGGAATGTGCGGACCCCGCAAAGGTCTCCCCCTCCGAAGCAGCTGCTACAGGGAAGGCACCGATGTCCCCCAAGGGCCACGTCTCCCCGTCGTACCTTCTGGGAGGGAGGCCTCCACAGCCTGGCTGAAGAAGTCCACAGGCCCGGCAGAAGCCAGCATCCGCACCCGCCCTGGCTCTGCCGGAGCACCTCCCCGAGCATCTCTTTGGCCTGGGGCAGAGAGGAGGGGGCATGAGCATCCCAGCGTGGGGGTCCCACAGCCCGTCCCCAGCAGGACCCTCGACGGCAAACCTCTTCCCCAACTCACGTCTCCCCTGCGTGCTGGCCTCGCAGCAGGTGCTGCATTGTTCCCGGGCAGAAGGCACGCACACCGACGCGCTGCAGTGGAAGTACACCTGGTTGGGGAGGGGGCAGAGGTCAGGAGCAGCCTGGCGCTGAGGAAGGATCTTGCCTCTCCCGGGGAACCCAGCTCCCGCAGTCCTCCCGCAACACACAAGGACCACAGGTGGGTGTGCAGGGGGAAAACGGTTCCCTCCAAAGGCCTTCCCTCAGAGAGAGGAGTTAGTGCAGAAAACCTCTTCCGCTGGGTTCGGCAGCACCAGTCAGATCAGAATCCAGAACGGGGGAAGATCCTTTTCCGCTCTAGTCTGCCCTGGTCAGTCCTCGTTTCTCCAAAAAAAGACATTTGCAACTTGGAGCGCGGTCAGAGGCGTCTGGGAGCCAAGCCCAATGTGAAAGGGTAACGGATCTGGGCACGCTTGGCCCGAACCACTGAGAACCCAGGAGAGGGTCTCCGAAGCTCTGAAGGGGTCTCCCACGGAAGAGGGAAGGGCTTCCCTGCCCGAGCCCCTGTCGCCTCAGTGGGCAGGAGCAGGCCCAGCAAGAGGAAGCTAGAAGGCCAGGTCAAGGCAACGGGGGGGGGGGGGGTTATGAGGGGTTCGGGAGGAACTTCCTGGCTGTGTGGAAAAGGCTCCCAGGCCAAGTGGCGAGTTCTCCTTCGCTGGAGGTCTTCAAGGGGAGGCTCTCAGGGCTCTGCACTGGGCAGCGGTTGGATTAGATGGCCTCTTAAGGTCCCTTCCGCCTCAGCAGGCTTCTATGACCTCCTCCAGAGGATGCCCCCCGGCAGCACTCAGAGCAAATGGCAGTGGCCCTTCCCTGCACGGGGGGCTGCAGAGCAGGCTGGGCCCCAATGCAGGCAGCGTTTCCTTTGCAACACTACAGCCAAAACCCAAAGTGGGCCAATTCCAATTTGCAGGAAGGACTTGGCCCCGCTTTGGGGGCAGTGACTTCCAAGAGTGGTTGAAGAAGCAACTGGAGAGACGCGCCACGCGGGAGGTGAGTCCTGCCCGTTTCCTGCCCGGTTCTTCCTTCAGCATAAGACGTTCGGGGCAGCCCCTTCCTGTTGGGGGGCTGGGTCCCGGGCATGGCTCCAGTTCTCCACACGCCTCACAAGTTGACTGAGCAGAACCAAATGCAGCTGTTTTCTGGGCACCTCCAGACAAGCCTGGTCCCCCCCAGGAATCCTCTGCCAGCCAAAACAGCTTCAGGGTGTCAGGAGCAAGTTGCCTGGTGCGCGCACGCCCCCCCAAAAGTTAAGGCTCCCTGGAGTCGGGCTCCACTGCTGGGGCCTGAGGCAGCCTTCTTGGGGACGATACCGACGGACTTCCCCATGCATTCAAGTCCCCAGTCTAGCCAAGCCTACAGCCTGGTGCTCTCCTGGAGGTCTCCAGCCACCTCGGAGGCAAGTCCGATCCCAATAAGCTTCCACGCCTATGAAGGTGGGCCAGGGAGAAACCTTCCCTCCTTTGCCTAATCACAGAGTGCACGAGATGTCCGAACGCAGCCAAAGGACCCAACGCCCTGCCCGCCTCCACTCAGGGCCCGGCCCCCAGTCCTACCGGCCCGGTGAGCATCCTCTGAGAATCCATGTCCACAAGGGTGAAGGTCCTGACGATGAAGCGCTGATGGTGAGACGGAAAGGGCAGCCCCAGGTCCCTCCAGAGGGGCACCAGCTGGGTCTGATAGTTGTCTCCTCTGTAGGGGCACCTAAGGGCAGATGGGGGAGCCACCGTGTCACTGGCACTCAGCACACGGCACGGCCCCGAGCTCCCAGCTCCGACGGCTGCAGAGGAGAAGCTGCCAGCACCATGAAGCCAACCCGTCTCTCTGTGCTGTCAATTTCAGCTTCCGGGCAGGGAGGTGTTTGGGGCTGCCCCCCTGCAGGGAAACACTTTGCAACAAGCCCATTCTGGCTCTGTGAGACGCTTGACTTCTGAACCAGGGTTACAGCTGCTCTGCCTTCTGAGACCCAGTAGGAAATGGGGAGCTGTGCTTCTACCCCACTGGGACTGGGCCAGGCCCCACAGAAGGAAAGGGGCTCAGCTGCGTGGCAGCTCTCCCTTGGCAACTCTGGTCACAGACCGGCAGAGGCAGCCCAACCCCACCATTCCCGTTGTGGGCAGCCAAGCGAGTCAGTCAGTCGAGGCGAGCCCTGCCGCAGCTCCCCCTACCAGCCTGCCATCCTCCCCCTGCAAGCCCAAGTCACAGACCCGCTCTCCAGAAGGGGCCACTGAGGCTTCCGGAGGGGGTTGGTGCTCGGGGTGGCCCAACATTCGTGGAGGAGCAGAACGAGCGCAGGATCCCTCCTCCCAAGGAGGCGGACTTCGAGGTGAATGGGGTCACGGAGAAGCTTCACCACCGGATAGTCCAGGTCAACATAATAGGAGGAGTAGGTCTCGTCTGTGGGGGAAGCAAGCCTCTGAGCAGGCCGAAGAGGCTGGACTCTTACCCCCTGCTGCCTGGGACCAGCAGTGCCAGGGGGGGCTGCAGGCAGATCCCCCTCCTGGAAGGGCACGAGGGGCTCAAGGGGAGCTTGCCCCCAAGGGCCACCCACCTCGAGCAATCCGCATTTCCAGAGCAAGGGGCCCCTGCTGGGCAATGGCAGGTGGGGGAGGAAGAGAGGCCACCAGGACGCTCACGGGGAGGGACTCATCTCCGGAGTAGCTGCAGTGGATGGTCAGCCTGCAAGAGAGGTCAGATCCTCTTTTGGCAAGAAATGCGATCAGCCACCAAACCTCCCTGGGCTTGTGGCAGCCGCTGCCTGGCCCCGTTGGGGTGACCCATGAAATCATGGAGGCGGAAGGCACTCTTGAGGCCATCGTGGCCCACCCCCCACTCAGGGCAAGAAGGGGCTGCTGCGTGCTCTGCCCCGTGAAGACGCAGCAAGCAGAAGGCAGCAGGAGGCTCCAAGGCGCATCTGCCTTCCTGGGGCGGGGTGGGGGGGACATGCTGCTGCAGACAGAGAGGCGAGTCCACGGCCAGAGGCTCTGAGGGCTGGAGGCCCAGACAGGCAGGAACCCGGAGCCCCCAACACCGCCCATCTGTTCCTCCCTCTCTCTTGGAGGGAGCTTCCGGAAGGGAAAGGCTGGGACGCCCCATCCCTTCTCTGGCACTGGCCCTCCGGCCCCGCCTTCCTTTCCCACTTCCCACTTCTTGCTGCCCAGGGACCTCCCACCGTCACCTGAAATTGCTGTCCTGGGTGATGGAGCCTGAAGAGGACAGGAGGACCCGTCCGTCTGCCGAGAGCTCGTTCTCGTAGACCCGATGGCCTCCAGCGTCCTGGCCCAGAAAGAGCTTGCTGAGAGGATGATGCCGGCTGACTGGCCGGCCGGCTTTCCCAGCCCCGGCGGTGGCCCAGCACAGCCGTTCCTGGGGGGAGCCTGCTCAGCTGCTGCAGATCGTCCTTCGGTGGGGCCTGTTTCTTATGCACCAGGGAAGCTGGGGGGGGCGGGGGGGGCTTGAGACAGCCATT